GCCGTTGTTTTTATTGTTGCTATTATTACTTTTATTGTTATCCTTATAACATATACAAATGTTCCTTTCTTGCGCTTGAAATTTCATTTTTGTTCACTTTTTTAAAATGACTGAAGAGAAATATTAAAGGAAAAATATGCATTGATTTCATGTATTCAAAAAGGACTAATTTTTCTCTATCGCTTTCAATTTCAATTGAAATTTAAGGCCGTTTTTCGGAGTGCGTACTTTTCTAATGAAAATTGACTGGAAAAAGCTGCACAAAGCTTCAAATAAAACATATATTTACTAGATAGCTTTTCTCTTCTCAAATACTTTTTCCTATTTTCTTTTCAATTTTAAATCGAGTAAATACAATCGAATCATGCTTGTAATTTAAGAACTCATCTGAAATGCTTTTTCTTTCTTACTACCTCTCTCTTATTTCATGATTTTCTAACAAAGAAAGCTGAAATTTTTGATTGAAATAAAATAAAAGCAGGTTTTATTTTTCATAACTATCACGAACTTCAACAGAAAGGCACAACGGAATTTAAAGACGACAGCATATACATATACATATAGATGTATTTGTATATACAAATTCCTTTCATACTTTTCAGAATGAAGTCACTCAAATCATGCAATCTAATATGGTAGCGTGGCTCACCAGAATAATAGATTAACCCATAACTTTGAAGTTTCGGTATCGTCAAACTTTATTTTTTCCAAACTCGTAGATAATAATCTCGCTACCAAACTTCTCAACTGGTTAACGTCGTTTGCACCTTTTGTATTTATTTTTGGTGAAATCTGTTCTCCTCTTTTTCTAAGTAAAATCACATTTCAAATATTGGTCAAAGAAAAATAAGTATATAATATCTATTAATTTTGCATACAATATAAGTTTCTTTGTGCAATGATATACCAAGGCAGGTTACTGCATCACGTGCAACAGTAGTTTCTAAAAATGTTGATTGCATGGCTTCCAAATTGACTTTTGCTTTCAGTTCCTATGCTTTCTTGGCTTTAATTCCCTTTCTTTGAAGTAGATAGTACATATTACTCGTTTTTGAAATTTAAATTAATGTTTACTCTCAATTTCCATGCTGCACAAAAAATGTGTATTTATACTAAAAAAAACAGAAACAGAGGCAATACAAAACATTTGAATTTAATTGCTCTGTTGAAATAATTAAATGTTGCACACTTTGGTGATAATATTTCAGTAATTGAGAGCTTCAAAGTGAAGTCTAAGTCAATTGACAGTCAATAATGCTAAATTTCATAATGCAAATCGCAGCAATTCCGGATAAGTAGCCTTAATTCCAGATGAGTTTTCCAGAGCAACGGTTTCAAATAACCAAGCAGTAAGTGAATTGAGAATAAGTGATATTTATCCACAAGTAACTTTCCCGTTTTTTCGAAATAAACTAATAAATAAAAAAGATAGTTTTGCTGGCAAGACTGTTGGAGCAATTCCACCTATTATGGATTATTTCATTAAAACTCATATCAGCAAGAAACTACCATTCAAATATAATTTACAATTTGATGCATTCTTCTCGATACGAAGTCATTGTATGCGGTGTCAAAAAGTATCAAAATGAAATTATTACTGAACTACATAACTACCAATAAGTGAATTTCATTTGTTGCTACTCTCGGCTTTATTGGCTTTTACAATGTTTATTAGGCTTTCTAAGAAATTTTTCCTGAGTACTCAGACCCGGAAATTTTATTGGGTTGTAAGCATTGTTGGATAAATCCTAGAAAACATTAAATAGACTATAATAATTTTTGTTTCACCTTCGATATGCGAAGTTATAGGTTTTCAATTCTTGCAAATTAGTAGAACTCCACAGAAATTATAATCCCTACACACCGTAAACCTCAGTATTTCATGTTTATTTTGCTCATATGGTCCTGCCGATTAGTCAGGAGAAGAACGAAAGGAGTCTCAAAATGAAAAAGTTTCCCTAATCAATAGCATCTTTACTTCTATGGTAGATCATTATCAAGGAATGATTAAATTATTGTTTCTAGAAGTTCTTAGTACAAACGTCTTCCGTCTTTCTTGATGGATTTTAAAAGAAGAATTGAAGAAGAAGATCAAATTGAACAGAGACTAGTTATTAACATGCGATATAGTAATCAATTCTCGGTATATTTCATTTCTTCGAGCTGCATTTGCAGTTGGAGAATGAATCAAGCTATACAAATATTAATTTCTAAAGTTTCTTCTGTTTTCAACTGACTATTAGCAAACTTTATGTAGATGTTCTAACATTTTCTTTACCTATACTTACCTAAACTTTGAAGTGCTTTCTGAAGTTTATGAACTACCTTATTTATAATCTGGAAACTAAGGTATGACATAAACTGCAAGATAAGGAAAATATGCAGCTCATTCTATATGAACTTTCTGAAGTTAACGTATTCAACATCATCAGATTTGCTGATTTCATTATTGTAATATTTGGCCGGTCATAATATTTCGATTTATATATCCCGCCTTCCGTTATAAAATCAAATATATCTACATTGGCACTTAAAGTTTTATTCTTAGCTTTGGTCCTAACTTAATCCTTTTCTTTTGAGCAACGTTTTGGCTATGCTAGAAGGTATTTGTTAAGTCTTTATTTTTGATCATTAGAATCAGATTTTTTTTTTAATTCGTTCTTATTGCTTTACTGTGTATATTTTGTGCTATACGACCGCATTAATTTTGATACATTCCTACTCTGGAAAAGGACTAGTCCTATTAATTAATTTTTTTCATGGTAAATCGAACCCAAATATTGCGCCGTTTTACTGCTGCCGATCCAAACAAACTGCGAAAATATTAAAAATCATCAAATTGATATTACTTATTTCAATTAAAGGTAACTTTTAAAACAATGAGACAAACTTTGAAGGAAAGATTGTCAATATTTTATGGTTGATTATTACTGGCTAGAATGTAATTTCATCTAATAACTTGGATTTTTGTTTTCTTAATTTTGAGCTTTGCAAATTTCAGTTCTAACAATGATTAATTTTAATATGTGGTTTCACATAGTGATATACTCTATGGCAGCATGTTATCTCTTTTTTTAGGGAAAAATTGAAATTTCTTTTTATTAAGGAAAAAAGAGGTAGAATTAAATGACTTAAATTTGCATTAGAAGGCTATATATCAATCAAGGGATGTCAAAAATTTGTTATTCTGAGGGAATCTAAAAGAATTTTCGATTCTGAAAAAAATTTGTTGGTTTTTCAACTCTGCAATGCATAAGACCGATGTGATAACTTTTCAGATCGCTAACATTCTTAAATATTAGTAAGAGGTTTGAATTTAATTGTTTTCGGTTGTTTCAGAATGTCTGAAGAATCCGATCTTTTTTATTCAAAATGAAATAGAACTGTTTTATAAAAATTTTGGATTATGATTATGGAATTTAACATCTGCAATTTGGTGTTTCAATTACTTTTTTTAAAATATTTTCAGCAATTTATGATAATTGTAAAAAAATTTAAATATAAGGTTTCTAAAAGTTTTCAAATCTTTAAAAGAAATTTGAATTTGAAAAACGTTTTAGGATTCAATTATTAAATTTTGTAGGATGCGCATTTTCCCCTTCCCACAGATTATTTCTTATTCTATGACTGAATCCTGCAGTGGTTACTAATATACGAAAATTTATTTTATAGTTGCAGTATAGTTGCATATTTTCGTAATGAATTTACTTTGCAATATCTGGAAAGAAGTGACATTTTACTTGTCTGTTGCTCTGAGTGTGTTATTTCCTCAATTTCAGAAACTTAATAAGAGACTAAATAAATAGATGAAATATATGTATATTCTTTTTAAATTTGAGTTTAATTAAGTTCCGAATGCACCTTGCTTACGCAAACCTTCTTAGTTGAAATTGAGAATGTAAAGGATTTACAAAAAAACATGAAACCGATAAAGCTTCAAAATTTGACAGTTCCACTGCATAGATGCATTTTCCTAACCTATTTCGAGATGCAGTAATTCCAGTAACCTGTTTATTTAGAATCCGGATTGTCGGATTTGACTGATTGAAGAGGAATAAGGGAGGTAAAGAAGAATGAGGAACTTTTTCATAGTTAAGGCTCAAATTTGACTGTTTCTCAGAAGGTTGTTTGCTTTTACCTCAATTCCTGATCAGAATCAATTTTCTTGTTCAAAGACAAAATGAATCATAGCTGACTGTTCGAAATTTGTGAGATTTATCATTTCTCATTTAGACCTCCCTAAAATAACTTCCAACATTAAAAATCAATTGACTTTCCATGCACTATATCTTCAGTATTATTGATTTTAATTGACAAATTGTTAGCAGCAATTTATCAAGTGAAACAGACAGCAATTATATTTACGACATGCAACCTATTAACAGCAAGCGGTTATAATTGCATAGTAATGATGACATATTTTAGGGGTGTATGGACAAAAATGCATAAAAAGTTAGGATAAAGCAGCCAACCGAAACTTGAAACTAAAACTCTTAATCCATATCAACATCATACTTGGAACTCACTCACTAAAATTTATTTCCATTTCGGGATAACTTTTGATTTCCGATCTGCAAATTTAAAAAAGACTTTATCAATGAATCAATTGTTGCTATCATATAAGTTAGTCTAGGAAAAGCCATTTACATAAACCCGTAAATTTCCGGATTGAAGCAGTAATTTGCGAAAAAAGTTTATAGCATTAACACGCCCATTCATCAGCTGTAACTACTGAAAACACGCCTCTAATAAGGAAAACAAGGGATGACATATAGGCGAAGGAGGAGTGAGACGGAAGAAAAAAAGGAAATCGTCCTCATAAAATCAATTCCAATTTTCTAACGCAGAATTCCAGCCCGGTTGGCAAAAATTTTTTTAAGACATATTCAATTCCAGTAACGGTTCTTGCTGTTTCAATCAATTCCTTCATTTTCCTGCTGGCTTAATTCACCTCTATTATCTTTGTTTCTGATTGCGGTGAGGAGAATTTAATTTGAAGAATGGGCTTCAATGTACCAATCATCAATCGTGACAGCGATTGGTGTCGTCAATGGTTGGATCAAAGGACCAAAGAGCCGCATATACAAAAAAAGCTGGTGCTTGTAATTGTTTCCATTGCTTTGCTGCTCGACAATATGCTTTATATGGTGATTGTACCGATAATTCCAAAATACCTCCGGGATATTCATGCCTATGATGTGCAGTTTGTTGGGTACCATAACGAAACGAAGAAGTTGAGGAACGGTACTGTTGTTGTTCGTATGACTGGTGGTGAAATTGACTATTTGAATGAAGATATCGGACTTGGATGGCTATTTGCATCAAAAGCCCTTATTCAAATTTTTGTCAATCCTTTTTCCGGATATATCATTGATCGAATTGGCTATGAATTCCCGATGGTTATCGGTTTATGCGTAATGTTCAGTTCAACAGCCATTTTTGCACTAGGACGAAGCTATGGCGTCTTGTTTTTCGCCAGATCATTACAAGTAAGTTGACATTCTTTTTTCAGCAACTTTATTATTTGAAAATTTATATAATTTGGAGAAATGAAACATTCTTTCCTTGAACTCGAAAATACAAATAAAAGCAAAAGACGTGAAATAATTCTATAAAATATTGATTTACCAATCTGCCAGATATAGTTATTTTAACAATCAGCTCTTTAGGGATTTGGTTCCGCATTTGCTGATACTTCCGGTCTTGCGATGATTGCTGATCGTTTTACAGAAGAAAACGAACGATCAGCAGCGCTTGGCATCGCTCTGGCATTCATATCATTCGGTAGCTTGGTGGCACCGCCTTATGGTTCTGTCCTCTATTCACTAGCCGGAAAGCCGATACCATTCCTAATTTTATCCATGATATGTCTTTTTGATGGATTCATGGTTTTCATGGTCATTCAACCGAAAACCGACAATAAACAAGTGAATACAGCCGGCGAACGTGTACAGGGTACGCCAATGTGGCGTCTATTTATGGACAAATATATTGCCATCTGTTCAGGTGCCCTTATTATGGCGAACATCAGTTTGGCATTCTTGGAACCAACGATCACAACGTGGATGGCCAGCGCTATTCCAAACACTCCGGCATGGATGGTTGGTGTCATATGGTTTCCACCATTCTTCCCGCATGTTCTAGGTGTTTACGTCACTGTCCGTCTTATGCACCGTTATCCACAAAAAGAGTGGCTTTTGGCGGCGATTGGCTTAGCCATGGAAGGCTTGAGCTGTTTCATTATACCATTCACCAACTCTGTCATCCAACTGATCTTACCCTTGTCAACACTTTGTTTTGGAATTGCGCTGATCGACACATCGCTGCTACCAATGCTCGGATACTTGGTTGACACACGTCATGTCAGCGTTTACGGTAGTGTCTACGCCATTGCTGATATCTCCTACAGTTTGGCTTATGCATTTGGACCAATTATTGCTGGGGAAATTGTCGCAACAATGGGTTTCCTAGCTCTAAATATTATTATTTGTGTTCTGAATTTGGCTTATACACCGGCATTATCAATTTTGAGACAAGTTTATATATACCAGCCATTTGAAGAGAAACAGCAACAACAAGCACTATTTACTACCGATAGCAACGGTGATAATGGTACCACTGAACAAAGTTTCGATATTCCGCAACAACGAGGTTATGGTGCCATCCAACAGCAGCATGACGAACCGAAAAGTCAGTGGAATATAGCGGAATATCCTGCTGCTGCTGCTGCTTACAAATCAGACGATCCATTAAATGTGCAATGGTAACGAAGAGCTTCATTCAGTGGATAGGATATCGTACTAGTACTTCACTCATTACTGCTGTTACTGCTACCATTATTGTTACTGTTATCCATTGCTACTGATATAAAATGCTATTTTTATGATTAAGATCTGCTTCGCTCTATAGAAATTACTGTCTTGTTGTCCTCCTCTCAATGATGGTGGTAGTAACTTTCTCAAAATAATCTTCAAGATGTGATCTCATTTCGCCATTACTATGCTTTGTCCATGTTATTGATGTGTGGTAGTTTTAGCTGTATCTGCAAAAGTAATTTTGTTCGTGTAATTCAATGAAATATAAATTTGCTTATAATAGGAGCCAAAAGATCTCAACAATTAAGAACATTCAGCAGAAAGGAAATTAATGAAATGAGATGGAAATAAGAAAGGAACTGTGAGATGATCGATGAAGCTGAGAGTAGGATCGCTATTAAGGCAATAGCCATGATGGCGTGTTACAAAGAGCTGATGCGAATTCTCTATCTATTCATCACATTTAAATATCCATGATAAAGTGCTTGTGACGAATTTGTAACGAAAATCTTTATTAGAATATCACACAATTCGCTTCAATACATACTACATAAGGTAGAAATTTGAAAATTTGTAGACATTATTTGATCGAAATAGAATTCGTCACTTTCAACAGTACGCATTACTCAAAATTTTCCACTTCTGCTTCAGAATAAATAATTTAAAAACAATTTCAAAAAATCATCATATTTGTGAAAACAATACTTAAGTCATTAAGTATGTTCGCAAATTTGTTTTCACAAATATGACTTTGTGCCTCACATTTAATTTTTATAATTCAACTCTAGCATTGACAAACGAGAAGCATAAGCATGTACTTAAGTTTTTACCAAAATTGCTATCATAATTTGCTATCGTCAGGCTAAATTTCGAAGCTATAATTTTAATCGAAACTTCTAGCTTTGTGCGTAGATAAAAGTAATGAGAAAATCATTTAACTACAGCTTGACTCACCTTATTCATAGCTTTTTAAGAGGTTCAGATGCACCTGAAATTTGCACATCAATAATTTGTGTCGAAATTCCTTTGGCACTGTAATGTTTTAAACTTCCCTACATCATCTGTTGCTTTACTGGTATTTGTGCAATAATAAAAAATTATATGCAAGTGCAGAAACCTAGAAATAAGTCTATTGATTTAAACTAGTAATTTAAATTAAACTCTAAAGTTTAAGCTAAACTTTGCAAATTTAGCTTGAACTTCAAATCATCCTTAACATTTCAAAAGTTAGCAATTATATTGGTAGGAATAGTATTGATAAAAAACAGTGAAACGAAAATGCTTGATTATCAGGAGAAAAAAAGAAGGAAGGTTGATTGATTTGTCGGATGAAGACAAGAATTTAATTCCTAGTCTATAAAATAGTGGTAGCAAATTTGGAACAGTTTAATTAGTGAATGATTGCTTTCTCTATTTGCATACGCAAAAATGTCATACCAATCAGCGATAGTGGTCGAGTGAGCCAAAAATAATAACCTTGCAATATTTCCAACCAACCCTTTTGGGATTGGGCTAATTTTGAGCTTCTGGATTTTGTTTTTTAGAATCGTTTCCGAAAAATTTTCTACAATTTGACTGAACTGTATGCAGGTTTTTTTGATTGCTTCTGCAGTTCAGAGTAAGCAATGATAATGAACCAATGAATTCATGAGTTCGAATAAATTTTGGACTTCGAACTTTAAATTTTGAAATAAATTGGCATTTGGAAAACTTATTTTCCATACTACTTCAGAAATCAAGTAGTAGTTCATGGTCTAAATTGGCATAAAAAAAAAATGCATTCGATTTTACAAATTTGAACAAGAAATCTAAGAAATTTCATTTTGTTTAAATTTGACTTAATGATAATCATTTGATAGAAAATTCGAAATTTGCCATCATAATTAAATGTCACCAAATTGCAGCATTGGTCAGCAATGAATGATAGAAAATGTATTACTAATACACAAAATTTGACGAACGATTGGTATGGGGTAAGTTCTACTCCATTTCCTCTCTGTTCTTCTTTCAATTTCTTTCACCAAATTAGAAGTTGTGTTGATGAATTCATGAGTTCGAATAAATTTTGGACTTCGAACTTTAAATTTTGAAATAAATTGGCAATTTGGAAAACTTATTTTCCATACTACTTCAGAAATCAAGTAGTAGTTCATGGTCTAAATTGGCATAAAAAAAAAATGCATTCGATTTTACAAATTTGAACAAGAAATCTAAGAAATTTCATTTTGTTTAAATTTGACTTAATGATAATCATTTGATAGAAAATTCGAAATTTGCCATCATAATTAAATGTCACCAAGTTGCAGCATTGGTCAGCAATGAGTGATAGAAAATGTATTACTAATACGCAAAATTCGACGAACGATTGGTATGGGGTAAGTTTTATTCCATTTCCTCTCTGTTCTTCTTTCAATTTCTTTCACCAGATTAGAAGTTGTGATGCAAAAAAAATTTCTTTCGATCACTAACTATTTGTATGCTTTAAATAATCCTAGTAAAAATGTATAATTTCCAACAGTATAATTTCCAAAAGCGATAAATGAAATGTAAAATTAACATTCAAATTATCTTAATGAAGAAAATCGAGACCAGTAAATATCGTAAAAAAGGTGATATTTGTGATATTTACAATAAATAATTCAAAACTCGATCTCGTGTTTCATAGTTGACAATAAGAAAGAGAAAGTCGTAAAACTAGATTTGATGTGTAAACACAATAGGTAACTTACAAAAATTGTGTTGCTTCCACCATTTGCACTATCGTTTATTTCGGACCATTCTGCACACTTATTTTTAGCTTCATTTATTAAAGTTATTTAACTGTATATTAATTGATTGATTTTTTTAGGTTATCCAAATGAAGTTTTCAAAAAAAAGTTTTATATGACTAAAAATTTGCAAAATGTTGAGCAGTAATATGATGTATGAAAGAACGCTTTTCTGCTCAACGTAGAAATTAGTTAGTTCAATTTAGTTTGTTTAAATTAGCTTAATTAAGTTAGCATAAAACTTTAGATTTCATTTCTTAAAAAAGAAACTAGTTGTATGAAAATTTGCATAAATTAAGAAGTATTAAATTATAATATTAAGATTCTTATATTTGTGAGCTAAAAAATCTGGAATTTTGGCTTTTGATTTCTGACCTATTCAGTTAGTTATAAAATGAGAATTAACCCTCGCCTTATGAAAACTGCGAATGCAACAAAATCCAATGATAATAGTGGAATGCTTATCAATAGTGGCCAATAATCTAATAAATCTAAGAGTGACACAGTTTTAAGAATGATAATATGCTTTTGTTATCTGATGTCAGAGAATTTTCATTAAAATTTGCTTGATGTGTGGAAAATAGCTTTGATGACAAATTACCCATGGGAACGATAGGAAGCGATTCGTAATACTGATTTTGCCATTTAAAAATCTCTGTAATGCCTAATGACTAAATTCATTTACTTGATGCTACTTTTCTCAGCATTAAAATATCCACTCATCCAAATTTATTCTAGTATTTGACATCTTTCTTATTTCAATCTCACTTACGTGCTTAAGAGTAAAATTCAAAATAAGTCTCTAAATTTTTTGAACGGACGGCCAAGAATTCTGGAAATAGGGATTATACTGTTTGTAATATCGATTGTTGTTAGCACTGAAGTCAGACAATGTTATTCGCATGATTTTCCACTCATTAAATTTCAGTATTTTTGTATTTTCCGAGTGTATGAAACAAAGATCCACTTTTTCAACCCGAAAAGCTCACTTAATATCAGCCCAAATTTCAAATTTTTGATTAAAAAAGGATATCTGGAAGAATCAATAACAAAGGCTATTTCGAGATTTCGCGTGCATCGAGAAATTTACAGGATATTTAACGAAGAAAAGCTGCTTATAGTATAGTGAAAATGGTGTAAATGCATAGTGAAAATAGTGGAAATGCTACTCATAAAAGCTTTTCAAAGTAAACATCGTCTGTTTTTATATTCATCTAACATATTTAAACTCCTGTATATTAATACTGAGTGCAAGCAAGCAACAACAACTATCCATCTGCCTGTTCAGGAGGCGAGTTCGAAAATTTTTATGCATTTCTTGAAGTTTTAATTTATAGTTTCAAATAGGAGAGTTTATAGTTTCAAGTAGGATTTAATTTATAGTTTCAAATAGGAGAAGGGAAATTTTGAGCTTTTAACTTGCAAATAAACAATCATTGCATCATTTCTGAATAAAGTTTTGCAAGAGCCCCCTCCATTTTCTAAAAACTTTGGGTAAAGTCTTGTAGCAAATTCACCCATTCAATTTTCAGTTATTGTGTTTATACTGATGAAGCGGAATAAAGGCATAAAATCGTATGACTTTGAAATTAACTGATAAGTACGTGTACACTGATTCTGTAACATAGGTTAGAAGAAAAAATTTAGAATCTGTTTAGAAATAGCATAATTTCTTCAGGTTGCAGCAATATTATGATATGAAGGAAGTGAACTTTGAAATTTAAGAAGAATATTCGTTTTTTTTTTTTTTTTTTTTACTGTGGATAGCTATTTTTCAGAATTCTATTCCGAAGCCACCGGTACCTTCACTGGAACATACCCTCAAACGATACTTAGAATATGTATCAGTGGTGGTTAACAATGACCAAGCGAAACTATCACATACTGAAAAAGCAGTTGCTGAATTTCGAAATACTGGTGCAAAATTACAAGAAAAACTTGAAAAAATAGCAAATAATGAAGATAATTGGGTAAGTCTGAAGTAAATTTTTCAGAGATTAAAGTTCTGAGATAATTCTTAGCGATGAATCTGATATTGCCTAACAACTTCGTCAATTGCGTTTTGGATCGTTAGAGTTCTGCTTCACAAATGGTCCATCAGATCTTTTACACAATATTTAAGCAATAATTTGAAAAACTGGATAATTTGCTGAGTACTTTCCTTTTTTCTAAAAAATCTAATGC